CAGAGGCCAATAAAAGTGCAAAGGCTCATTGACAAAAATGAGCAATTTTCAATCATCGTAAGGTTAGGGTTTTTTTGGTGCATTTTAAGGGGAGACCACAAGGACTGAAGGTTATCTCTGGTACACATAGGGTTAAAAATCCATTGGAAAGAAACACATCCACTTTTATTCCTATTCAATTGGTCTTATAAACACTTTTAAAATCTAAAACTAAACAGTGAATACTTGGTTATTAATACTTAATAATATACCACAAGTATTATCATTTTACTGCGAACACCTGTAAGTCCCAGTGTTCCATTGAATTTTAAAGGTGAAGTATTTTTTTCTAACTCACAGCAAGGAAAAATCACATATCCTTTAGTAGTTGTGGACATTTCTGTATGACTGAGAAAAAGGAGGAAGGCAGGGGCTTGACCCCCCCCTCCCCTCCAGTGCATGTCCTTGGTAAGGACCATAATAAATAAATGCACACTATATAAAGTATATGTTCTGACTCAGAATCCTCAGAAGTAAATATTAAGTATTTACTTAAGTGAAACGTAGTTTCTCCTTCAGAAACACTGGTACTTCCTCCCACTTTTGGAAATTGACAATTTTGAAAGAAAGAAAGAAAACGCTCGGAAAGTTCACCTTTTACTTAATAGCATTTCAAGGCTTGTAAGGAGATCTTTAATAACATTATCAAAGGCACTGATGTCACATATACAATAAATCACGTGCAACAATGTGCATTCGCGAACACGATCCTGGCGAAACGTGTTTCTTCACTACTGACTGTTATCGATATTACCATATACCGTGACTAATCCCCCTTACTAGGCTCCTCCATATGTGAAGAGAAAATTCTGTTATCTCTCTCTCTCTCACGCACATACACACGCATTTGATCGCAAAAGTTACGTGTTTCCTCCGTATTTACCTGTATCTATAGTCTCTTCTCGAGATCATATAGAAAGAATATTGATGCAATTATCAAAGGTCATATTCCATATGCTACGTGGGGAGGAGGGTGTAAGGAAGCAGTCCTGGGTTCCCCGATTTTATAGTAGTTATATATTGACACTTAAAAGAATAAACAAGAATCCTCAACAAAGATTTCATCTATATATCGAAAATAGAAAAGAACTCGCTTCAGATAAAAGGCAACTCAAATAATCAACATCAATGGTTAAAGATGTATTGCCATCTCGTGACAAATAAATGAACTAATACTACGCATAGCCAAACAAAAGTAATAAAAGTTTTATTTTCTGTTTTCAAAAAACTTTTTAGAAAAAACAATTAAACTTTCTGTTACCACTTTCAAATAAACAACTTAAAATGAATTTACTGCGAGCTATTACTGAAAGGTTGAAGAATTAAAGATAAAAGAAACCTGGAGAAAACTTTCAAATGTCAACCAGTCCAATCTTACCATTATTTGTAAATGTCAGTCTATTGAGGAAAGGTGTACAATGCAGTATTTAGCATAGTTAAGCGTATTTTATGACATAAAGATACGCAGCTCATCAACATAATGTAATAAACACATTTAAAATGTTTGTCGTCATCATGCAAACAACAAACTAGGTGCAATATACACATGATATACGAAAGTTTGTCATGACTATTTTAACCAACCTCAAACGCAAAAAAAAAGGAGATATGGTTTGAACAACGGGAATGTTTTTCATAGCCTCATTCTTTATTAACTCAAGTTATAGATTGAATTGGCAACAGCTGCACAATTAAGAATACAAATGAACTACCACCATTTTATATTCATTGTCAATTTTTTACACTTCTTGTTAAAGCTTGTATAATAATTACACCTATGAATATTAATATATTTCAATATGTTTTATGTGAATACGTTTTATCTTTTAAGCCTCGCTACATGTCTGTATGTATGTAGCTTTGAGCCCTTAATTTCTACTGCGGTAGAACAAGCTGTAAACCTAATTTCATTTCAAACCCCGTTTGTGCTGCCATCTAGTAGGGCTTAATGTAAAACTACTATTTCTCCTTTGAGTTTTTAATACTATTAAAATCAAAGTAGTTATTAGGGTAGTATACAGCTTTCAATTAAACAGGTAATATCCGCATTCACGTCTCTCTTTGAAAAAATATCTTTTCTTTGAAATATCGCACAAGAGTCACAAGTCCAGCAAAATTACAACATTAGGAATTACTTATATACATATACACATATTAGACCCATGATGGGCAGAGCGCAGATAGCCCATTATGTAGTTTTGTGCTTAACTACAAACACATATCAGAAGCTATTCACGGGTGAAGTGAATTAGACTTACATTTTTAAAACACAACACAAATATCACCTATATTATTCTTGAATGTCTACTCATTGCACTGACTTTTAAATGTATACTTATATTTAAATAAATCATATAACACAATTTTAGGTTTATGTAAATATTAAATTGTATTCCATACACATTTGCAGTTATGCAAAACACCTAAAATATGATAAAAAATTCTTTATGATGAAAAGTTACTTTTTTTAAAGAGAATGAAGCACAGATGTAATTCATAATAAAAACAGTAAAGTTGTAAAGGTCAACATTAATGACGAAAATCACAACAGACTGTTGATAATAGGTAGGCAAACAACGATTTATTAGCATAAATAAACTATGATTATATATCATTGTTTCCTTACCTATTATCTACAGTCTGTTACTTTTGTAAACACTTTTGTGTTTAAAACCATAGCACAAAGTTGTAGATGTATTTAAACATTTATTTGGGAATCCCATTCTTTTAGATTATACTTTGAAATATTTCTGCCATTACTTCACAGACAATGGGTGAAGGTTATATCCTCATGTTATAACTGTAAGTATTATGTTTCTAGCCTTTAAGTAAGGTTTCAAGTACAAACCTTAATATCAAAAATAAATGTTGAGTAACAAAGATTATTTGAATAACTTATGCAAAAATTGGTCTGGTATTTAATAAATGTTAATATTTACATAAAGTCTGGGGTACTCTTACATTTCACAATTTGAAAGAACTTGAAACCAAAATTTTGTCATGTTCACAAGTGAAATGCCAGATTAGTGAATTCTCTTACCACAGTAGAATGCCTAGTGGAATAAATTAGTTTTGAAACTCTCCTTTTTTGTTGTTGGTGGGAGAGGTCTTAGGATCAACCTTTTTGTATTAAAATACACTGAGTCAGGTCATTCAGTGCATTCCTTTTGTTTTTGTCTTGCTGCTAAGGGTCTTTATTCAAGTTGGAATAAGACAATCTCAGAATAAATAAGGTACAAGTCAGAATCAGTAAAGAACCAGTTAATGTAAAACCAAGAACTGTATACTAACAACATATGTTTTATTGAGAAACATTTAATGTAAAACCAACAAATGTATATTAACAACATGTTTTGTTTTAAAAAAAACAGTTAATGTAAAATCAAGAACTGCACATTAACAAACATGTTTTGTTGTTGAAAGATTCAGTTAATGTAAAACCAAGAACTGTACATTAACAACATGTTTTGTTGTTGAAAGATTCAGTTAATGTAAAACCAAGAACTGTACGTTAACAACAAGTTTTGTTGTCGAAAGAACCAGTTAATGTTAAACCAAGGACTGTACATTAACAACATGTTTTGTTGTCAAAAGAACCAGTTAATGTCAAACCAAAAAGTGTACATTAACAACATATGTTTTATTGAAAGAACCAGTTAACATAAAACCAAGAACTGTACATTAACAACATGTGTTTTACTGAAAGAACCAGTTAATGTAAAATCAAGAAGTGTACATTAACAACATATGTTTTACTGAAAGAACCAGTTAATGTAAAATCAAGAAGTGTA